TTTCAAGGAAAGAATAGAAAAATAACAATGTTTACATGTTTTAATTCTTCATGGTAGCTTTTTGTTTACAATAATTAATGTTTGTCTGCTTTAACTTTGTTTGGATTAGGCCCGGAAATATTGATGTCATAAAAAGAAGATCAAGAATAATCAGGAATCACAATTTTAAATTACCACCACAACCTCAGCCGGGTTTTATACAAAGATAAACAGATGGATGACATAGATTGAACACAACATCAACATTGTCCTAGGATACTGCAATTAGACAAACCATCCTTTTATGAAATCGTGTTCAGTTGTGGTTACGTTTGGGGTGCCTATATCAGCGCCCCCAAACGTGAAAATATAACTTTTATTTCAACTATGAATATATTGTAGTTTAAATGAACTAATATGGGAAATTACGATGTGCATTTATTCAATGAGGGTGGGTAATTATCAAGGATAGAACTGATAACGGTATGGATAACAAACATTGACAATTACGTCATTAGCTTTACTAGCGTGTTTACTTTTTATATTCCTGCTACATGTGACCAGTTCTTTTTTTCAAATGAATGTTATTTGAACCAAACAGCTGTTTCAAAACAAACTGTTATTGTTTTTAGCGAATTTCCCATATAGGGAATAAGCTATTACCGTAGTACTCATGGTAAGACCTGGACGCGGGACCGATTTACTTTTTCATTTTGAGGTCCCTAGAGGCCAAAAACACCATCCGTTCAAATTCATATATATATATATTTATATATATATATTTATATATATATATTTATATATATATATTTATATATATGTTTATATATATATATATATATATATGTGTGTGTGTGTGTCCGTTAGCGCAATAACTCGAGCAAAAATGATACGATTTTGATGAAATTTGGTACAAACGTGTAAACCTACGTTTATTCGAACGAGTTCGCGATCCAGCATAATCGGACCATGGGAACAGGGGTTTATGGGGGGTTTTATGGGGTAAAAATGTGTTTTTCCCATTTTTTACCCTAAAAACAAAAAATTTTGCAATTTATTTCTAAACCGTTTTGTAGAGCTTAAAAAAAGAAATAATTTAGTATATTGAAGCGCTGTTGTATGCCTAACAATCACGGAGAAAATTCAAAAATAGTTTAATTTTAAATTCCCATGTTATTCTTATGAAGAAAATAAAAATTGTTGTAGTTTACTTGTTTATGGATATATATTGATAAAATTTGGCAAATTTATTTATTTCATCCCATACTATTCACGTATGGTCAAAAAACACTTTTTACCTTCCCCGTAGCAGCAAACCTAAGCACTTGTTAAATTTAATGTTATTTAAATAGGGAATAAATAATATGTCTTATTTATGGAAATATTTGAGTAAAAATGTAATCAGACAAGTTGAAATTCGCTTAGTCTGCAGGTTTGCTGCGGCGGGGGTATTACTTTTATTTGTTTACACTTATTTATTTAGCAATTAATGCAGTGAAATTTATATAAAGGATAGGTGTGACGATTAGTTTTGACGTTAGGACACCAAAGTTAAATTATGTGTACTGTGAATTTTATTGGATACTAGCAGAGTACCCGTCCTTCGTACGGGGTTGGAATATAAGTATAAAATGCTTATTGCAGTTTATACTCAAGCTTTGCGATTGCAATGGGTGGAGGACACAGTTTGATAAAATTTGCTTTTTTAAATTTACAGTATTCTATAGTATTACACATCTACCATAGTCATAATGTTCTACCATTTTACCTAAACAATAGAGAAAAATAAATTATCAATTCGCAAAATATCACAAATTATTCATGAAATGAAAAACATATACATAACTGTAGGCTAAACAATCCTACTTTGACAGTTCTCATTGCGAATCACAGTTTTTTGTTGCTGCTTAGTTCAAATTAGCTGTTTTCACAAATGCAAAAAAATATAGTGCTGCACCCTGTTGGTAAATCTTATAACTTTTTAATGCTTTTCCATATCATAGAACCAACTTTTTTTGTTGAAACAGCTGATTAAATTCTTTAATTCCCTTTAAATATGAATACTCATAAGGTTAACATGGGGAATTACAGAGCCACTGGGGCGGAGCCCGAAAGGATTTTTGAGATAAGAATATGCCTATATGTTAATCGGGAATGTAAGCTATCATCATGCCAAATTTCAGCCCAATCCGTCCAGTGGTTTATGCGTGATTGAACTTCAAACAAACAAACAAACACACAAACTTTCACATTTATAATATTAGTAAGATTATCGTTTTATTTTAGGTCGCTTCTATTCAGACCTACTGGAAATTGTGTATAGTAGTTGTATTGTGGTGATAATAATTATGGAAGAGGCAGGTATGCTATGGAAGGTAGTATCGTCGACTAGGTCTATACGGGTCTATACAATTCTCAATTGACTATTAATCTCTCTACTGTAGGCTACTTATAATCAGTGTGCGTCTGTGCGAATCGGCTGCAAATCTCATTTCAACGCTTTTCACATCATAAAAATTGCAGAATTGCTGTTTTATTGTAAAATTATCGGATTTAAAATGCATATCGTATAGGCCTATGATGGAATAAAACATATTTGGTCACACAACATTTTGTTTACAATATGATTTTTCACATTAAAACTGCAAGAAACTTTGTCTTTATATGTGTAAACTAGCTGATCTGAATTGTACACGGTTTTAACTGACTACTGAATTCCCGTACGTAGGACGGGCTAACACCTCGTATAAGAGAATAGCATAGGGAATAAATCTGAAAAGTTTAAGGAAATATTTTAGTATAATCTAATCAGACTTATAAAATTCCCTTAGTCCTCAGAATCACTGCAGTAGGGGTCCATGTTTTTTGTAGGATTGAAAGCTTAGACAGTTGAATTTCGTTAAAAATCATCATTGAATGATAACTTACTCCTTAAACAATTCACATCTGGTTCCGGAAGCAACCCCGCTGGGATCGACTAGAACTATATATAACTACCCAGCATCCCTGAAAAATACTTCTCACAGTAAAATAAATAAAGTCAACCTAAATAAAATAAAGATATAACTGGAATGTAACCTAATTGTAGTACGATCTCCATGAGTGAACCAATTATGTATTTACATTGCATTTTTAAACACATTTTAAACTGTGGTATATTTTAATGATTTTTACAATGTTCAAATAGTTTGAATTAAATTTTAATTTGAATTACAAACATAAACAAGTGACTTACCAAGGAATTATGAGCAGGACTACCAGTTGTCTGACTACCATTGCCCAGACGTGACTAGCTTTGCCAGTTCAGTCAATATCACTGCCAAATAAGAATACGTGACTTTGGACAGATGGCAAATTGCAAAGTTATAACACGTCGTTTAAACAGTCTGCATGAACTCACCTCCATTATTGAACGAGTTAACGTCACAAAAAATGTCATTGTTATTACCCTGCATATAATTTGTTTATGTTTTTTAGAGGTAAAATACAACACTCATTAAAAATACTTTCTTCTAATTAATCATGCATTGGAAAAATTAACCTTAGGAAGTATGGTGAGTTAACTGGAATAATTTTACCCAGAAAAGATGTACGAATATGTTTTATTAAGTTATTTGAATTAGAAAAAAAACTTCTAACATCACTTGTATAACCATATTTGTTGAAATCACTTGACTACTTACTACCTTGTCGATATTTAAAATAGGTATGGAATTGTACATACTTATGGTTGATGTTTTATGCGTGTATAAACACTATGATAGGTTTTTTATTATGTGATTTTTACAGTTGAAAATGATGTTTAACAGACAGAAAATCCGAATTATACAACTACTATAACATAAATATTTAAACATTTTGACGTCATCATGTAACGTGACTGTGATTCACACCTTTAAATAACAAAATAAATTAAAAAATGAACAAATTCTTGTTTTAAAATATATTTATTGAACAATTATATTTAAATGTTAATAAATCGCTAACAGAGGTTTCGGATGATGAAGACAAAGACTCTAACGTTTCTTTTATCACCATGCTTATTAATATGCGTCTTGTTGTTTCGGGTGTTCCTCCTTTTTGTGATTGTACGAGTCATGCCCCTTTTTGGGTTCCCATATTTTGTGTTTACCCCCGTTGTCATGGTCCAAGTCAGGTTTCTTTTTATCACCATTATTATATTTGTCTTGTTGTTTCGGGGGTTCCTCCTTTTTGTGATTGTACGAGTCATGCCCCTTTTTGGGTTCCCATATTTTGTGTTTACCACCGTTACGATAGTCCAAGTCAGGTTTCTTTTTATCACCATGCTTATATTTGTCTTGTTGTTTAGGGGGTTCCTCCTTTTTGTGATTGTACGAGTCATGCCCCTTTTTGGGTTCCCATATTTTGTGTTTACCCCCGTTGTCATGGTCCAAGTCAGGTTTCTTTTTATCACCATGATTATATTTGTCTTGTTGTTTCGGGGGTTCCTCCTTTTTGTGATTGTACGAGTCATGCCCCTTTTTGGGTTCCCATATTTTGTGTTTACCACCATTATGATAGTCCAAGTCAGGTTTCTTTTTATCACCATGCTTATATTTGTCTTGTTGTTTAGGGGGTTCCTCCTTCTTGTGATTGTACGAGTCATGCCCCTTTTTGGGTTCCCATATTTTGTGGTTACCCCCGTAGTGATGGTCCAAGACAGGTTTCTTTTTATCACCGTGCTTATATTTGTCTTGTTGTTTAGGGTGTTCCTCCTTTTTGGGATTGGGTTTGTACGAGTCATGCCCCTTTTTGGGTTCCCATATTTTGTGGTTATCCCCGTTGTGATGGTCCAAGTCAGGTTTCTTTTTATTACCATGCTTATATTTGTCTTGTTGTTTAGGGGGTTCCTCCTTTTTGTGTTTGTACGAGTCATGCCCCTTTTTGTGTTCCCATATTTTATGGTTACCTCCGTTATGATGGTCCAAGACAGGTTTCTTTTTATCACCATACTTATATTTGTCTTGTTGTTTAGGGGGTTCCTCCTTTTTGTGTTTGTACTAGTCATGCCCCTTTTTGTGTTCCCATATTTTGTGGTTACCACCGTTATGATGGTCTAAGTCAGGTTTCTTTTTATCACCATGCTTATATTTGTCTTGTTTCTTAGGGGGTTCCTCCTTCTTGTGATTGTACGAGTCATGCCCCTTTTTGGGTTCCCATATTTTGTGGTTACCCCCGTTATGATGGTCCAAGTCAGGTTTTCCTTTATCACCATGCATATATTTGTCTTGTTGTTTCGTGTGTTCCTCTTTTTTGTGATCGTTTGAGTTTTTTTGGTTATAGTTTTTGTGATATGTGTTGCCCTCGTCATCTGGATTGGTCCAATGGTAATCCTTCAGATATTTATTTTCATCTTTACGTTTCATATATTGACCACCATAATTGTTTCTTTTATCGTTGCCTTCTTTGCGGCCGTATTTCGCACCGTCGTCATATTCTCCGTCGTATCGCTCAACGGTGTCTTCTTTGCTGTAAAATTTCCCATAGTCATCTTTCTCAAGGTCGTATCTCTCATTGTATTCTTCTTTACGGTCGTTTCTTTCGTTGTGTTGTTTATAAGGAGTGTATTCATTTTTATGGTTTTTGTCACCTACCAATTCCTTCTCGTGCCAATAACGATTGTATTCCTTATATTTATCACGCTCGTCTCCCTTATTTTTGTGCTTATCATGGTCATCCTTATCGTATTGACCATCGTAGTATTTCTTATGATCGTGTTTCTCATAGTCGTATTTCTTATTGTCGTATTTCTCATCGTAGTATTTCTCATCGTCGTTTTCTTCACGGTCGTATTCCTTATGGTAGCTCCAATCGCTTTGCTCTTCAGGGTCGTATTCTTTATTGTAGTATTTTCCATGGCCATATTCTTCATCGTCGTCTTCTTCACGGCTATATCCCTTTTTGTGACGGGTTTCGCGGTCAGACCCTTTATTGTAGTATTCATCTTTGTAGTATTCTGACTTGGGGTTTGTGTTGGATCCTATGTTGTAGTCACCTTGGTGTCGTTCCTTTTCCCAACGCTCATTTTTACCAAATTGATAATTTTCTTTACCGGACTCTTTTCCCTCTTTTTTCTCAGTCATTGTTTTAAAATGCTCTTCGCTATATTTGTCATACTCTCCTGTGTGTTCCGAGTAGTCTTCAGTTTCCCTACGCACTCTTCCCTTTTCTTTCACATGTTTATCGTAGAATTCTTTATTCTGTGTCCTCCCAGAAATCTTCCCTTGACAGTCGTATGTATGTTTATGAACATTTACATTTACCACACCACAATTTTTATTTACAATCGTATCTTCACCGTCCTTATGGGTTTCATCTGGCACATGTGATCCATACAATTTATTATCTTGCTTGGAAGACTCTGTCCCTGCATGAAAAGTTTTAGATGTATCTCTATCATCGCCGAATGATCTTAAAACCACATAATCCTTGTCCTCCTCGTCTGTACTGTGTGGATACTTTTCTCTCTGACGGGCCTCATACAGTTTGATCAGATGTTTCATATTGTCTTCTGCTCGTCTGATGTAAGATTTGCATTCATTCTTACCTGAGACAGTTCTGCACAATAGACCCATACAGAACATATTTGCACATCTTTCCCCCTCCACTCGCCAATGTGTCTTCTCAGAGTGTCTTCTCTCGTGGCCGCATGAACTCGAGGTATCCTGGAAAATCATTAGTTTTAGGTTGTTTTATCAAAACGGCGAATTTCATTTCATTAAAGAGAGTTTCATAAAGATTCGGTACAAAGACTTAAGTTAACAACTCTCCTACATTTTGATAGTCAATGGAATTATCAGATGTTTGGGGCTCTGAACTATTAGATAGGAATAATACTTTTTAAAGGTAAGTCACAGAGTATTTATTTAATTTTATTTATGAATATGGAATCTGTTTTGATCAGTTCAATACTTTTTTTAAACTTAGACACACACTTGAATACCTATTTAAGGCTGAGTACGAATGCTGTGTGGGAATGGAGTGAGGAGATTGTTTAGCCCAGTCAATGAATGCAATAAAACAGCCTTTTTCGCAAATAAATGGTGGAAAGCTGGATTTTTTATATGTGATAGAACCACATGAGAGGTGTATTTTCCCAAAAGTCCCCACTTCTACCCCTTGAGCTTTCCCCCCCCCCAACCCCCTCCAAACATAGAAATTGCAGTGATTTACTTAATTGATCATAATTCGAATGTTATGTAAGCTATCGAGCTGCAATTTGTTTTATTTGATTTCTGATTAGTTTCCCTACAACTTTTGTATTTATGACATTTCTCTAAAACCAATATTAAGGGAGATATAAAATTTAAACTTCGTTAAAAGCTTTGTTTCAGAGTGCAAAATCTTGTTTTTCTCTATGTATACTTTTAAATATAAATAATACGCAAATATGGTTCAAACAAAAGTTTTAGTACGTTTTTCAAGGTTTACAAATATATTATTGGTTAGTCATCTAGGTGACCGGCTAAAGAGCTGAGCGTCGGCAAAGTGAGCGCGTGCGCGCTAGTTGAACACCTCTGCGCTGCGTCATCGCATCTAGCCCAGCCAATAAACGCACCAACTGCCTTTTTTCGTAGCTAAATAGGAAGCTGAGATTGTTATATGTGATGGAACCACTTAAGACGTGTATTTTCAAAAAGTTCCCGAGTCTCCCCCCCCCAACCCCCCCCCACCAAAACCCCCTCAAAACCTGGAAATTACAGTCGCTCACTGTACTGGATATAATTCAAATTCTACGCATGCCATCGTAGTGAAATTTGGTTTGTATTTTTTATAATTAGTTTATCTACAACTGTTGTAACAAAGATTTTCTTATAAAACTATATCCACAGAGATATAACGTTTAATTTTTTTTAATTTTTATGTTTATGAGTACACAATTTTGTTTTACCCTCTATATATTTTTTCCAAAATAAAATACGCAAAATGTTTCAAACAAAAACTGTAATGTTTCTTAAGGTTTATAAATATATATTTTATTAGTCATCTGAAAAAAACTGATGTAGTGTGGGGCGTCGGCTTTGTCGGCAAAGACACCGGGTGCAGGCTTCCGCGCAGCGCAGCACCACCCGTCGACGCGTCGCGTCATAGGCACCGACATCCCTAATAGAGCAAGAGCCCATGACTGCCAGACTTTCGTCATTTTATAAAAGCTGAAAGTTTCTCAGCTAATGCTCCCAGTTCACTTAAGAATGATAGGCAACTATGACATTTGGATTTTGGTTACTTTGGTAACAAAAAGGTAACAAAGGTCAGAAATTTGCAAATAACCATCGTTATAGTATAAAGCTTGGTTCTTTCATATTTTCTTCAGAGGAATGTTAGAAATCATTTCCCCCATTGCCAGACACTTTGTGCGGTTTAAACCCTCTGCCAGACACCCTTAAAAACTAGGTATGACGAAGATTAATTTTCGTCATTTTATAAAAGCTGAGATTGATATATGTTATTTGGGGAGCTATCAAAAGACGTTTTCTCAAAAGCCAGACACTTTCGTTGGTAACTTCATCTAGCCAGACACTTTAAAGTCTGCCGTAATAAGCTTAACTGTTAGATGCAAACAGCGAATTCAGTTCCAGTTTGGAACAGATCTCTGTGCCAAATGTAAACGGTTAAATTACTTACTTTCTTCCTCAGAGTCTGTTTTTTATAATAAACCATATGTTTGATGTAAACATATGTTATATTTGCATTTAATTGTGTGTTTATTTCTGCAGTGTTTTGAAAATATGTAATTATGTTCTAAAACCATTGGGCACAGAAAACTATTCCAAACTGTAACAGAAGTCACTGTTCGTATGTAGCAGTTAGCCCACAACTACCTATTATATTACAACAGACTTTTAATGTGTCTGGCCAGATGAAATAACCAACGAAAGTGTCTGGCTCTTGAGGACATGTCTCTTCATAGCTTCCTAAGTAACATATATCAAATTCAGCTTTTATACTATTATGTAAACTAACGCAATCACGATTAGAAATAAGTTGTGATTTCACCCTGTTACATTTGGCGACGAAACCAGTTCTATACTGGAACTGAAGTTACTGCTTGTAACTACTGTACCTATTATACTACTACAGTCTTTTAAAGTGTCTGGCAAGATAAAATAACCAACGAAAGTGTCTGGCTCTTGAGGATATGTCTCTTCATAGCTTCCCAAGTAACATATATCAAATTCAGCTTTTATACTATGATATAAATTAACGCAATTACGATTAGAAATAAGTTGTGATTTCACCGTTTACATTTGGCACAGAGATCTGTTCCAAACTGGAACTGAATTCGCTGTTTGCATCTAACAGTTAAGCTTATTATGGCAGACTTTAAAGTGTCTGGCTAGATAAAGTTACCAACGAAAGTGTCTGGCTTTTGAGAAAACGTCTTTTGATAGCTCCCTAAATAACATATATCAATCTCAGCTTTTATAAAATGACGAAAATTAATCTTCGTCATACCTAGTTTTTAAGGGTGTCTGGCAGAGGGTTTAAACCGCACAAAGTGTCTGGCAATGGGGGAAATGATTTCTAACATTCCTCTGAAGAAAATATGAAAGAACCAAGCTTTATACTATAACGATGGTTATTTGCAAATTTCTGACCTTTGTTACCTTTTTGTTGCCAAAGTAACCAAAATCCAAATGTCATAGTTGCCAATCTTTCTTAACTGAACTGGGAGCATTTGCTGAGAAACTTTCAGCTTTTATAAAATGACGAAGGTCTGGCAGTCATGGGCTCTTGGGCTATAAGTTCTCAAAGGTTTTATACAAATGCTATGGCCTTGTACTTTTTAGTTTACTACCAAAACAATCTGTATCCAAGCTTAACCGTTAACAGTAAAAACAATTATTATTTAGATGGAACCCTTTTTTTTATAACCAGTTTTGGTTCAGGTAAATTAATCTCTACTTACTTACTTGTTATACTTGCAATACTTTTAATACTTTATTTCTTCATATTTGACCAACGAAAGTTTGATAGATTGAGGTACAGAACACTAGGCCTAATGAACACTTTAAAAATCACTAGGCCTATAAACATACTATTTGCTCTTCCTTACGTTACAATGTGCTTTCCATTATCTACCACCAATGGGACTCGCTTTGTTCCGCAAGGTTTTTACTAACTGCGCCTCGGGGTCAGTAAAGATCTAAACAGAAAACTGCAAAAAAATACTAATTAGATGAAACCTAATCATTTGTACATTTCTTAAATTTATTGTTGGTTTTAACTCGTTTGTTTATCATTTAAAATAATAATTTATTTAATTATTTCTGTCAATGGCTAAACCTATTGACAATAATAAACATGGATACATATATTACATTACATAAAGCTGGGTAAGAAACATACTGAACCCAATGATGAGATGATCCAATTCGCCTATGGGTCTGAGGATGATTGAAGTGTCGAATCGAAATCTACGACCACTTACCATCTTTTATGTATATTTACAGTATTGTCAGTAACATTATAAGTGTAAATTTATGTTTTAAGTGTTAGACTATTAGACGTATTTTCTTTTATTTACTTTCCGATTAATTAATGTAATAAGGCATATATCCAAAATTTATAAATAAGTAAGTAAAAAACTATTTGTGTCCCCATACATGCAGGCAAGACTATTTACGGGATACATACAGGCAGATTATTCAAATTTCTTAACATATTGTGTAGATGTGTCAATCAAATTGAGGTTTTTTTTTCGTAAAAATTGGCAGCAATGTATTACGAATCTGCTTTACGGCACTAATACGTGGTCCAGATCAATCATTGTTAGAGACTCTATACTGTGAATCTTGGTGAGGTTCTGTTCTCTAATATTTTATTGTTTTCATGTTATCTAAAAAAATAGTCAGCATAATAGTTCTTTATTGGTTTTTGGTAGACATTATACAAACGTTTAATATCGCTAATAAAGATGGAGGATTTATTAAGTGTTTTAAAATCTCCTCTACATAGACTTAACAAAAAAGTTAGTTTTAACATTGACTGGTTTTAATTTGTGTTCCTTACCATGATTAAAAATGGCTTATAAATACTACCGACAGTTTTCTACGTTGTTTGTGATATTATTTTAACATAGGCTTACAACAGAGCAGCCATATTTTATTTGCTAGCGGGAAGCTTGAAGAGAAGGACATATCAACGATAGGACGCAGTTTGTATCAAGGATTGAGTCGACGAAAAATCTTTACTGACCGTGAGGTGATTCATTTAGTCACGGTTTAGCTTGGAAACAGATTGTTTTGGTAGTAATGTAGGCTACAAATAAGGAAGTATTAGGATTTATATAAAACAGTTGAGAACTTAACGGTGCCGGTCCTTATTAGGTTATGTATCGACGGGCGGGGCTGCGCGGATGCTGATGACTAATCAAATATAAATTTATAAACCTTAAGAAACATACTAAAATTTTTGTTTCTAACATTTTGCGTATTTTATTTGGAAAAAAATATATAGAGTGTAAAACAAAATTGTGTACTCATAAACATAAAAATAAAAAAAAATAAATTTAAACGTTATATCTCTGTGGATATAGTTTTATAAGAAAATCTTTGGTACAACAGTTGTAGATAAACTAATTATAAAAAATACAAACCAAATTTCACTACGATGGCATGCGTAGAATTTGAATTATATCCAGTACAGTGAGCGACTGTAATTTCCAGGTTTTGAG